AAAACAGGGATGATCACAGCACTGCCTCATAGAGGGAGGTGTAAATGTATCCTGATGTATAAATATTCATTAGCACTATGCCTGGCACATGGCGAGTGCCATAAGGGCTTGCTTTCTTAGAGGTATCATCATCATGATTATTATTCATTGAGCATGTACTCCAAGGTGGGTGCTGGATATATAGCAAACAAGGTAAGCACAATCCTATGTCTTACAGAGAGGGAAGACATAATTTAAAAATTAAATCAATCAGGATGTAATTATAGCTGGTGTGTTAGAAAGGAAACCCACAGGGTACAGTGATAAGGACTGAGGTTCAGGGCTGTGAAGCAAGGCCTGTTAGGGGAGGCTTTTCCAGGGCAGTATCACCTTTAAGCTGATCCTGGAAGCTGAGAGGGAGGAGACAAAGCCTCTGTTATCACCCTAGCAGAGGCAGCATCACGCTTGTTCACTGAATAATTATGGGCCAGGCTCGATGTTGGTCTTTGCAGTTACTCTTTTCCCACCAATATCCTGAAAGTGTAAAGGATGATCTCCATTTTAGAGCAGATGCTATTGAGGCTTAGAGAGATTAGGTGACTCGTATGAGTCAGGCTGACTCTGAAGCTCACTGTGAGCTTTTCTACTGTGCTCTGCTGGCCACCTCTTCCACCAGGTCATTTGGACAAGCAACAAATTAGACTTGAACCGGGATGCTTAGTCCATATTGACTGTAGGTTCTGTCAGTCTCACCATAAATTAACCCAAACTAAGAGAGATCTCCTTAATTTGGGGAGCTAGAGTACTCTGCCTTCTGGCCCTGGGATCGGGGAGAGGAGGAACATTTGAATCCTCTCCTTCACTTGGTCAGACTGACCTGTGGACAAGCTGTTATGTTGACTGGTGCACCAACTGCAGTCTTCATTTCAGGATATATAAGCCAGTCTAGCAGGCCTACTAGATACACACCCCATCCCCAGTGGCCAAAGTCAAAATAGTGAGGGGTTCTACTGAGGTGCTGACACCTATGCTAGGTATTCTGGAAGTATTTGCACTTCTTGGGATATTTGGTGACAGGTGCTCTAGTGTTTTGTCTGTGCTGAGAACAGGGTCCAAGGGCAGTTATCGAGTTACTTTCTCACATCCACCCTCTACTTTCTAGAGCTTGGACCCCCTTTTGGGCTCTGTTGTGAGCAATGGCTGCCATCTGCTGTATCCTCTTTCTGTGCCTGTAAATTGTTCCTAAATACTTCATTTTTAGTTATTAGTCAATGTGATCAAATTCACTTTTTATCCTTCAGAGATGCTCAAAAATTCTCATTTGCTGAAAAAGTTTCCCACCTTTTCTCATTTTGTTGTAATATGTTGCCTTTATACTGCTTTGTTGTCATTTCAGTTGGATTTGGGGAAAGAGGTAGCTAAAAAAAAATGTACTCCGCACACCACGTTGAGCTACAAGTCAGGGCCTCCAGACTCCAAATGTGGAAACCATGTTCTGCTGGCCAGAGGGCAGGCAGGTGCAGCAAAAAGATACTTCAAAAGTGACTCTTGAACATTTGTGTTTTGGAAGCAGGGAGGAAGGTGGGGGTTAATTCAACCTGGGGGAAATAAGAACCTTTCTCTGAGGAGGTGATGATTCCCTTGAGGTTTCACTGTTAGAATATGGTTTTCCCAAGCAAGGTCCTTGTATTGGTCTGCTAGGGTACTAGGGCTGCTGTAGCAAAACACCACAGACTAGGTGGTTTAAACAACAGAAACTCATCTTCTCACAGCTCTAGAGGCTGGAAGTTGAAGATCAAGGTGCCCTTAGGGTTGTTTCCTGGTGAAGACTCTCTTCCTATCTTGCAAACAGCACCTTCTCACTGTGGCTTCATATGGCCTTTCCCTTGTACACACATGAAAAGAGAGAGAGAGAGATATTTGGTGTTTCTTCCTCGTCTTAAAAGGACATTAGTTCTAGAGGATGAAGGCCCCACCCTTATGACCTCATGAAACCTTATTACTTTCTTAGAAGCTCTATCTCAAAACAGAGTCACACTGGGGCTTAGTGTTCCAAAATATGAATTTTGGGGGGACATAATTCTACCCTTAAACTCTTAGCCTTTCCATAAATTTATCTTTATAAATAAGTTCTGATCATGACCTTATGAGGGTCTTGAAATAGACCCACCAGAAACTTGCAGTGTGTGAAGAAATGAAACCAAGCTGTATAGCATCAGGGATATCCAAAAAGTCCTTGAGGCTGATTTTGTCAGGCTTCATTTCTCAATTTTTTATTTCTCAAATATTTTATCTAAGCTCATCTTTGTTTTTACAAGACAAGCATGTGTTATTAGCAGTAGGTTTCTGTGTATTTGATGCCTTATAGAGGATAGCAGAAAACCTCTCCCCATCCAAGGTCAGCATTATGTGTCAGAAGACTCAGATGCACCAGACCTTTTGGGGAGGAGAAGAATATAGGCTTCATCTCCATCATGCCAGAGCACAGTCCAATTTGACACAGTCAAAATAGAGGCAGGTATTTTGCAATAGATTATAGATTTAGACACACGGCTCTTACATTATTTAACAAAGCTGGGAAGGTCCAACACTTTCAATGGACATTATTTATTTAAATTAAATATGTATTTCCTTGCCTATTGTAAAAAGGTCTTTGGACATATTATCCCAGTGGTGGAGATATCTACATGTACAGCCAAATGATTCTTAGGCCAAAAGATTTTAGAAAAGTGCTCTGAAAACTAAATTCATTAGTCAAGATTTGTCAAAGAAGGATGGATAGTCTGCAGCTGGGTAGGTGGACCCCTGAGGCAGAGTCCAGAACCCTCCTAGGATTCAGTACGATTTTGCTGGTTTTTGTTTGCCCCTTCATTCGTTTTTTTCTTTTTTTCCTTTTTTCTCCTTAGCCTCCTTTTATTCTCTTGAAATGCCTTACTTTTTCTTCCTATATGTCTTTCTCCCTGGTCAATAAGATGTTAAAAACATCTCTCTCTGTCCTTCCTTCCATTTGCTATGTGCATTAAGGCTACTATAATCTACACAACACGGCTATCTCTGCTTTGAAACAAGAATATTTACATCAATTTAAGATTTCATAAGTGCTGAATAAATTTTTATATATATATAAAATAACATATAATAATATATAATTAATCACCCAGGATGAAATTTAGCTTCCAGCACTTCTTTGGAAAATTTAACGTTACGAATTGTCAGTGACATTATTTCCTAATCCAAGACAATTACTTAAAAAATCTTGTTTCTAGCATTTCAGGTTTAATAAACATCTTATTGAATCATGAAATAAGACCCCACTAGGGAAAGAAAGCAGACGAGAGAGTGAAGAAGAATCTCCAAAGGTCATTTATTAGTCAGGCCATGCACATTTGATGTTTGGAGGCCAAATTAATGATTCATCATATTAATAGTTCAAATAAAAATAGCAGACACCTGCTGAAGAGTTTATACCTAATCTTAAAATATTTCCTGTGTATCAAAAATTAGCCAGGTGTGGTGGTGCACGCCTGTAGTCTTTGCCACTCAGGAGGCTGAGGCACGAGAATCACTTGAACCTGGGAGGGAGAGGTTGCAGTGAGCCGAGATCCTACCACTGCACTCCAGCCTGGGGGACAGAGCATGACTCTATCTCAAAAAAAAAAAAAGGGGGGGGGGAGGCCTGTGTGTCAACATGCCTGCTAAATATGACGGAAACATGGACATGTCTCTGGGTAGATTTCTGTGTCTCCCCCAACCCAACCCCATCTCCAGCTCAATTTACTATGTAAAACATAGAGCTCAGAACCCAACCCCTTTCTTGCAACTTTGCTGCATGTTTGGAATCTTTCATGAGAAAATGTTGGAGAACATACTCAACTCTTCTTTTTTTTTTTTTTTTTTTTTTTTTTGAGACGGAGTCTCGCTCTGTCGCCCAGGCTGGAGTGCGGTGGCCAGATCTCAGCTCACTGCAAGCTCCGCCTCAGGGGTTTACGCCATTCTACTGCCTCAGCCTCCCAAGTAGCTGGGACTACAGGCGCCCGCCACCTCGCCCGGCTAGTTTTTTGTATTTTTTTTTTAGTAGAGACAGCGTTTCACCGTGTTAGCCAGGATGGTCTTGATCTCCTGACCTCGTGATCCGCCCATCTCGGCCTCCCAAAGTGCTGGGATTACAGGCTTGAGCCACCGCGCCCGGCCTCAACTCTTCTTCCCTGAGTTTCATCTTTGTATTTCTTGTCCACTGGATAATGCTTGTATGTATTGAATTCCAAAGTAACCAGTCCTTGGACGTTCCTTTAGCTTGATAACAGAGGCTAACAGAGAGGAGACAGAGCAAGAGAGAGAGAATATTGAGAGTCTGTCAGCAGCCCGTCAGTAATAGGGGTGAATTCCTCAGGCAGAGGGGATCGATGCAGGCGGGACTGTAATAGCTAGAAAGCATCTCATTTGTCTCCCTAAAGACTTTGGCATCTGCCAAAACATCTGATTCCAAAAGCCACCCCGGAGGTCAGCCAGATTTAGAGAGAGATGGTTAGAGAGGAGTTTAGGATGTGAAGTCCATCATGCCTGCCAAGCCCACGGTGGAGAGCGGAGGGATCTGTCTTCTCTCTCCAGTTTCTGACTGGGGCTGGTGGACTATTTAAGCGTTCCCAGCTAGCCGCTTGCTGCCTGCGAGCTACGCAGCCATGAGCAGATGATGAGAACCTACGGAAACGATTGGAGAGAGAGACGTCCTGGGGGGATGGGAGTAAGTGGGTGGGGGGGGGGGGCACTGCCATACAGAGAGCCCAGAGGAACTGTCCTATTTGAGAAGACACATTCACAAACATAGAAGCCCACTCTGCACTTTGTCTCTAGTGGACACCATTAGATATAGATCTTCAATACACACAAGCCAGACAGGCTAAATCGTAGCCTCTCTTCAGTAAATGCCCTAGTTGTTTAGAGGAAAAATGGTTTAGATTAGCACCCGGGCAGTCTGACAGAGGTCCAGAGGGAGTAGGGGACTTGCCAGCATCATTAGCATTTTTTTCTTCTTTTTCCAGCAGCACTAAAATATATTTGCTCAAAACAGAGGGAGATGAAGAACTACTGGCAGCCAGTAACTTCTTAAAAGAAAAGAAAAAGAAGCATGTTTTACTTCTCTGGGGCGAAATACCAATTAAAACGATGCTGTGTTGTGACAGATTGCTGAGCAATTAATGCGTATTTGAGCATCACGCTAGATGCTTCCGCGAAAGCAACAACCTTACTGAGGCTGGGGCAGCCACACGTTATAGCAAAACAATCCTTCCTCAAACTTCCTGCAGCACCCTTCACGCCAAGGAGCCCAGAAACCACAGAAAACATTTTTTTTCTTTGAATCTCCAAGAGTTACACTGGAAGAATTAGCTTGGCAGAAAGATCCCGACATTGAATTCTATTGGGGATTTCATACTTTCCTCATTTGTAAGCAAAATCCATTTTCCATGAGATATTTTTAGTGCAAGCAGCCCCTGTTGCCCTATTCTCTTTCACTATACCATTAGATGTTGAGGCCATTCCAGAAAGGACACGTGATTTCTAAGCATCTCTCTTTGGTTCTTTCCTAAGTGACTAGTCTCGCAGGAGTCAGGGAATACTAGACTCTTAACTACCAAAGACCTTAAAGTCCTTCCCAGAGCCTTGAATTCTTATTGATAGGATGTTAAAATGCTTTACAGCTGCTTTTTCTAAGAGGTCAGCTTGGCGGAGCTTGCTGAGTGACCTCAGTAAAACAGATATTTTCAGCCCTGCAAGCCGCCTATGTAAATATAAAAATGTATTAGGCTGCAGAACTGCATGTGTGGGAACAGAACAACCATACTATTGAAAGGAAATCACAGGGGAACACTGGTGTCTCTCACGCGGGGCTGGTTAATGCGTGCATGCTTTTGTTAAATCATCTTGATCTAGTGAACTCTATGTTTCAGATAAGCCAATTTCATTTCTGGAACTTATGAGCCATGAAAAGTAAAACCTCAATCAGTGAGATATCCAGCGAAATTTCCTTCAGGAAGTGTTTATGTTTATAAAAAACAATCATTTTCACTCTTGACATGATGCTCATTTGCCTCTGGAAAAATTGTCAGTGTAAAGTCAGGTTTTCAGTTGTATGATCTGAAAAAGTAATTCATTTGTGTGTCTGACTGGGAAAGATACATTGATTCAGACCTCTGAAAGGAGAATCGAAGAGCTTCATTGTAATGAACAGGAAACATGCTCTCGACGTGAATTGAGAAATACTCTCTGAGCGCAGTGCTCTAATATTCCTGAGTGTGTTCAGTTTCCGTGGATCAAATCTTTCCCATCTCTGCATCCAAGCTATTTGGCCATGATCAGATGATCAGAGCTCAAGGAAGTGATTGGAGAGTGAGCCGGCTGCAGCTGCAGTGTAGGCTGTTTTCAGGGACAAGGAGCCACTGTTTTGCAAACATAGCATCAACATAGAAGTTATTTTGTAGGCTCCAGGATGCAGCGATGGGCTGCACTGCCAGCATTGTTCTGCTTCAAGCTTTTCGTTCTGTGGTCCAGAGGAGCTGTCCACACATTTGTAGACGACGCCAAGAGGAACCATCCCACGAAATTTTGCCTCTGGAAAGTGACGATGAAATGAATAGACCCAGAACCCTCATCATAATGGTATGATATCTGTGGTAAAGCAGCCTCAGTGGATTGAACTGTTATTATAGAGAGGTTACAGTTTAGGGGTGTTGGTGTTCAGCGTTAAAGACATGTGTGACCTAGAGTTTACTACTCTGAAGTACTATTTGGGGAAAATCTTTCAAAACTATTTCTATCATCCAAAGAGCGTATTTTCTTCTTGTTGTATGTCATGAAACTGCAGCTTCTCGGTCTACTAGAAATTCTCTTCTGCCTCATGTTTTGCATGTTGTTATTTAACTTTTGTGCAGAAAATAAGAGAAAAATTTGGAGTTTGGTTTAAGTGAGTGGATTTTATTTTATAACTATAATTTGAAAGAAGAGCCCAAAATGGGCATTTTTTTAAATCACATGTAACCACTGAAGTTGTATAGATGCTCATAGTTGAATCTTTAACTTCAGGATATTTGGGGCTTTTCTTTCTGATTCTGCAAAGGAAATGCCTTTCCAGAATGCTTAACTTAGGCACAATATTAGAATAAAGAATTAAGAATTTTGTAGAATGCATAGTGTTTTCATTAGAAAGCTGTTTCTTGCCGCTTGTCAAATTACACTTTTGTCTGTGCTTTAATTATAGTAAACAATGTTGTTCCTTTTTTGTGCATCTGTTTGATCAGCAAGAATAAATTTGAGGATACAGTTCTTTCTTTAAGTTTAAAAAGAGATCTGCTTAGTCACTGAAATTAGAATAGGTAGTATGGTAAAGTCTCCAAAATTGAGGAGACATTGAAGTCTAGGTGGCTTCAGCATAATCGACTTTTTTCTCCTATATTTCAATGTTGAGATATCAAGGATGTAGTAAATAATGAATGAAAAATACCTGTTACTCTAAAAGTTCTTAAATGAAAGTCATTTGGCTTGGGCTATGCCTCTGAGTGACAGAATACTAAACTATAACATTGTTTGCCTACTTCTTCAACAAATATTTTATTTTCAAAAAGCAATATTGTTCTTGAACTAGGGGGCTGTGATTATTTCTGAAAGGAAACACTAAATAGGAATAGTTTCATGTTTATTATTCCCATAAGTTTTCACAAATTAAATTTTAAAGGATTTGAAATAATTCAATTGTCAAAGAAATCTTTGTTTTCCAAGTTTAACTCTTGTTAATAACATTAACACATTCTATAACTATTTGCAGTGCTCATGCTATACCAGTAAGTCTTATTTTTCTAATTTTGTTAGTCTATAAAATTTTGCAGCTAGAAATTTGCAAAAAAAAAAAAAAACCTCAAAATAACAGAAATTTTAAAAAGCTATTTGCTAGTCATAATATTTTTCCAAGGATCCTTTTGATTCATATAATACCTTTATGACATTAAATAAGGTGATGAAGAATATACTAATGAGGAAACTAAAGGCTCAGAAAGGTTGAATATCTTAACATCACACAGCTGCTAAATGCCAGTTCCCCGAGTCACACTTAAAGCAATGATTCCAAAAGCCAGTGTATTTTCCAGTCTGTTCACACTTCGAAGGAAATCATGATAAAACAGATAAACTGAATTTATGTAAGAAGTCTGATGGAAATCTGGAACTACTCTGAGTAAAACGTGCTCATACAAAGTCATTGTGCATCTTGAAAATTTCTTCTGGGCCACTCCAAAATTCACCCCCTCACTAATTATTTATTGCCAGCCTACGATGGTCCAAGCACTGGTTCAGGCACTTGGAATCCGCCAATGAACAAACCCATCCAAAGTCCCTACCCTAAGTTGCAAAGTTTGAAGGTGATAGAACATTTTGCCAGTCTTGTTGTTATGGAAATGCTATACTACAATTGTGATGTTTAGTCTACAAACTTTAGCCAATGAAAATATTTTCTGTTTTCCAAGATGGTGATTTGAAAATTTTAGTGTATTTCAAAATCACCTAGGAGTTTTCATTCACGCAAATCCTTGAGCTCTTGACCCCAAAGACTCTATATGAGCAGATGTGGAGTGGAGCTCAGGAATCTGCTCTTGTAGCAAGCACTCCCAGTTGATTCTGACGAAGGAGTACTTTGGATGACACTCTGAGAAACGTGGCTCTGGAAGATGATAATCTAAACTGTCCACCCCTTCTCCTCCTCCAGTGTGGTGTTCTTATATTGGCTAATCGTCTTCTCGCTCTGGCTCTAAGCTTCTGAACAAACTTTTTTCTTTTTTACTCACTTTCCCACTGCCCATTAGTCACCAAGTTTTATATATTGATTTTTTTTTTTTTTTTTTTTTTGTAAGATCACAGACTCTGGAGCCAGAGCGCCTAGGTTGGAATCCTGACTTCATCACTTCACCAGCTGTGTGACCTTGGGCATGCTGTTTAACATCTGTGTCTCCTTTCCTCCACTGTGAAATGAGGATAGCAATTTTGTCAAATTAGAGCAGTTGTATGGGTTTCATAAAGTAAGTGTTAAGTGCTTAGAACAGTGCCTGGATGTCATGGTAAGATGTTCGATAGGGATGTGATCAGGGACATCCTAACTGAAAAGTGACATTTGAGGAAAGACCCTAAGGAGGCAAAGGAATGATCCATGCCACTTTCAGCAGGGAAATGCCTAACGCAGAAGGACCCGCCAAGGCAAAAGGCCCTAATGTGAAAAGAAGCCTGGGGTGTTAGAAGAACAGCAAGGAGGCCAGCGTGTCCAGATGAGCCAAGAAGAGGGTCGTAGAAGGCAAGGTCAGGGAGGCAACGCGGTCAGATCATGTCAGACACACAGCTGTCAGGAAGGCCTAGGCTTTTTCCAAGTGAGAAAGAAAGCCGCTGGAAGAGGCAGGCACAGAGGTTAAGAGCCTGGGTCACGCAGCCAGAATGTCAGGGTTTGAGTGGTATCTCTGCCACTCACTAGCTGTGTGATCTTGATGAATGACTTGTCCTCCTTGTGTCTTTATTGATAAAATGTAAAAAGTAACAGTACCCACCAGTGTAAGGTTATAGTAAGAATTCAGTATGTTCATAGGTGCAAATTGCTTAAAACAGTGACTGGTGAATAGTGAGTGTTATGTTAACTATAACCCCACTAACTGGGAGGCCCTGAAGCAATGAAGTAACAGGATCTCTGGCCATAGAGGGTCAAAGGTCAAAGCAGGGAGACCATTAATTAGGAAGCGGTTGCAATGATCCCAGCCAAAGACCTGGATGGTAGTTGCTGAGGCTGTGAAAAATAGTCAGATTCTGGATAGATTTCAAAAGTAGAACGAATAGAGTTGAATATAAAGTGTGGAAAAGGAAAAGGTGTCAGAGTTGACTGTGCTTATTATGGCCTGAATGTCCAGAAGAACCAAGCTGCCATTCAGAGAGAGAAAAACACAGGAGTGGAAGGTTTAGAGAGAGAATCTAAGCTCACCCTAAGGATGCTGAGTTTGAAATACCTGTTAGGTCTATATACGGAGATGTCAAGTAGGAAGTTGCATATATGTCTGGAGTTTCAAGGAACTATATAAAGATGAGTAAAGCCTAGCCCAGTGTAAACATCAATAAATGATTGATAAATGGGATCTTTGTCTCTTCTAATCTCCTATAATATTTATAGTGTATAAATCCATTTGAAAGTTAATCATGCATTGCCTTCTAACACATCTCAGCCTATTTAATTGAATGTATAATTGTTTATTTACTTGCTGATCACATATTTTTCTTATCTCACTGGTAGACAGGAAATTTCATCTACCAGAGCAATCACTTCCTAATTAATGGTCTCCTTGCTTTGACCTTGACCCTCAAAGGCAGAAAGTAAGCGTACTTTTTTTTTTTTCCTCCAAGATGGAGTCTTGCTCTGTCACCCAGGCTGGAGTGCAGTGGTGCAATCTCAGCTCGCTGCAACTTCCGCTTCCCGGGTTCAAGCGATTCTTCTGCCTTAGCCTCCCAAGTAGTTTGGATTACAGGCACACGACACCACACCTGCTAATTTTTTGTATTTTTAATAGAGATGAGGTTTCACCACGTTAGCCAGGCTGGTCTTGAACTCCTGAACTCGTGATCCACTCGCCTCAGCCTCCCAAAGTGCTGGTATTACAGGCGTGAGCCACCCTGCCTAGCCTCTGAGCTTCCTTCTTGCTCCGTTAGTACCCAGCCCAAAGCCGTTTACAGACTCAAAGCTAAATAAGCGTCTGCTGATTATTTGATATTTTTAAGCAGCTGGCACTAATATGCAAAGTTCAGTTGATCAAGATGCCCACTTAACTCTTAATTGAAATGTCCAAGAGTAAGTTAAGGATGAAGAAAGTTGCCAAGATAAATACAAGGCTTTGAATACTGACACCCTTCACAAGCCTTTGGCATTCAAAACTTCACAGTGGAAAGTTGTATCAAAGAGTCTCATTCCTGTGGTCTAGGTTCCGAATCTATGTGCAGAGATAAGATTAGGGCTGGCATAATTGTAGTCTAGTTTATATAGTCCGAAATGGAGAGAAATTGCTAAACATCAAAATTAACTAATGTAGATTCTTATTTAAAAGAAACACATGAATCCTGACATCTGAGACCATTACAATGGCCTATTACGATGCAGTCAAGTTTAATGGGGGAAAAATGAAGAAATTCCTTTAAAGCTCTACTTTTATCTCTCAATTTTTTTTGGCGGGAGAATTAACAGAAACTTTCATGATTTTTTTTTTTACTTCCTTTAGAGCATATTTTGTTAAAGGTCTCAGAAACTAATTCAATTTATGTAGATTTACTATTTTCTGGCTAATATCTGTTATTTCTTATGTCATTTGCTCATCACCAACCCCAGAAGTTAGCTTCATGTTCAGTCTTTTTCTTCCCCACTCCCCCAAAAGAGAATGTTTTTCTGTTCACACTGTGGAGTTTAGAGGTGGCATAAGAGGAGAGAGAAAAGCAAGTGTTGGTCAGGCTACTAGTCTCACTTTGGTTATATGACCAATACCCACACACCAGATTCACAGGTCTGAACTCAAAAGTGAAAAAAACTTTAAAATCCATGAACATTCTGGGGTTTCTCTGAAATAGTAGAAACCATAAAATTTAAATTTAGGACT